TTGCCTTGGGTTGTGGTATAAAAAAGCAAGGTTGACTGACTTTAATAACCTTCAAAATGTAATATGCACTTAGAGATATTCTGTCTAGGCTGTGGAATTGCTCTTAGGAAATGCAACTTATAAATAAAAACAGAGAGAAGATTTACTTAGCATTCCAAAATTTAGATTGGTAAAAATGTACTCTCCTTTGTCTTAAGCTACAGTGGAACTGGGTTAATCAGTAGGAAAGCCAGTGATAATGGATTTTATCTTGGTGTTACAGGAAGATGAAAATCTGGCCTCAATTAAAATAGAGACATAAACCAGTTAATACTATTCTTTTGTGCATCATGAATTGCTTAGTTTGTTTAATAATAACACACTCAAAATACAGCTGGGAAAGTAAGCATTTCAGGTTTTTCAGGCCAGTTAGCAGTAGGCAAATGAACAATGGCTAGATGTAAAATCTAGTACATCAGTATGACACACATGCAAAGAACAGATGGTCTAAGCACCGGACCAAAGCATTTTCATTTCATAACTTGTGAGACAGTTTAAGCAACAGTTGCCTAGCTTGCAGGTTTCACCTACAGCTTCCTTCAGACATGGAAATTTAACAGAAATCACTTGTGAGCCTACCCAGGAATGCCAGAAGAATTAAACTCAGTCAGTCTGGCAGGCTGCAGAGGTGAGTTCTAAAGCAGTGCTTGGTCAATAACTAAATCCAGGAACAGTTGACCTAGAGAGCTGCTCACAACCTGTGCCTGGACACACACATTTCCTGTGCTGAACCTTCCTATTAGATTCAGACCAGACTTAGACCATGAGAGGTAAAGACCATGAGCATAAAGATATGCAAATTAGGAAATTTTGTGTCCCAGAGCCCACCAGGAAGGGTGAACATATAAAATCCATTAACATCAAGTGGAAAGGGTCTGCTTCTTTGCAATAAAGTCTATTAGAAAATTCCCAGGCAGAAAAAAAAAGTCTCTCTTACTTGCAGATGCTATAATCATATGTTTCCATGGAAACCTCCTTCTCTCCTGATATCTCCAGTGGCAGCTATGCATGGGAAGCATCACTGGCAAAAAACCATGCACAGCCTGATCTGGGATCTCAATGGAAGAAGGCTTGAGGTTTTTTTTTAATCTTTTTCTGTGGTGAATGGTGTTTGGCAGGGGGAAAGAGCAGCTTTGCATCCTGACACATCTCAGGTTGCTGACTGCTTTCTATACTGTTCTCACAGTGCATTACAGTCCTAATCTTGGTTCTTATCCCAGTTGGAACAAATGTAGTAGGTGACAGTGATAAGGGAGCAGTGAATGGGTAAATAAAATGATCATCTGCCCAAGGTACAGTTTCAGATTTTTTTTCTATCGTCTGATATTTTTATTATCTTTGAAAAGAACTTTTCTTTCCCATCTCACTCCCTTAATTCATCAGTTGGGCTTTGGGTCATTGTTGACATTCCAAAACAAAAAAAAAAAATTCAGAGGAAAGAAGCCTGACACACATAGGAATGAGAAGGGATTTTACTGTGCTTTGACCCTGGTAAAATCATGCATAATCAACAGAGTTGGGAAATTAAGTTTGATAAGCAGATGAATCAACTAAAACTGAAAATAAAGTGTCCTGTATTATTTGCAAAATTCACCCAGTAATAACATTCAGTAATAAATACATAACACCTAGGTAAATACCAACAAATCTAGCTGCATCTGAATGAGTACGAAGGAAAAATAAGTTGGTAGAGTGAGATCTAACACTTATACAGTTCACACTGCCTTTGCTGTGTGTAGAATTCAGGTAGAATAGATTCCTTCCAAGGTCATTTACAATGAAAGAAAGAAAATTGCTGATTGATTCTACTTTCTGTTTTCCAAACGAATAGACTAAATCATGCCTCAGATTTGTTTCAGATCACTTTTGGTTTAACAGTTCTTCACAGCTACAATTTCATTTTCTACATCTTTCTTGCTAAGGGAGAGATGCTATTGTCCAGGCTGTCAAGCATCGATATCTTTAGGCTTTCATTTAACATCATAAATTATCAGCATAATTTTCTTGGCTACAGTGAAAAGTTAATCTGACAGGAATTTTCTTGCTTTGTATTATTTTACCCTGAGCTCCCTTTCTGAATACGTATCTGTGATGGTGGAGAAAACAGCTTCTGCGTGAGATACAGGAAGCACACTTTGAATATTGAGGATTAAAGCTTCTATATAGGTTTTCTGTATAAGAAAGAGATCCAAATTTCAGGTATGGTTATAGCAGTCTATATTTTAAATTTGAGTTTGTACTTTTGCACGGAATACTAATTATGCACATCAAAATAAGCACAAATTGAGCCATAACCTTTCAATTTCAATATACCAGTAATATTCCAACTCAGCAAAGTACTACGATGTGTGTACTTAAGGCAAAAGACTTGTAGCATGAGAGTGGTCTGCTTTGCCCTTCATGAAATGATGTGGCTGAATTGCAGAGTAATGAACAACAGCAAGCGGTAAAATCTGGTATCTTGGCTGAGTGTCTTCCCTCCCTCCTTCCATGCAAGCTGTCACAAAAGATGGAAAATAGGATTAACTCGTGTGGCTAGAGAAGATGTCTGAGTTCAGTTTGTATCAGTCAAAATTCCTGTACTTTTCTCATATTCTTTTGATAACAGATGCTTTGGTTTCTACAGATGTACGATATCAGAAGACTTTTCTATAATGAAATATACCCCAAAACTGCTTGAAATGAGTGGTGGGCCTTGTGTTGGTGCCAGTGATCAGGGTGAGGGGATGCTGATTGGACTATTTTAAGGAATAGACTTTAGCCATTTAATGAAGTTTGGAGTTTTAGTAGTGAAAAAGCATTTGTTGTGAAGATGTGTTAGAACTCATGGATCTGTGAGCCAGATGCTGTAATGTCTTAATGGGCTCCAGAACAAGTTGCTGTCTGAGGAAAGCTTCTTATTTCCATCCAGGCACTCATTTCCATCCTCACTGATGGAATGAGATGCTTTTTGGTAGCAGGGACAGCTACTCTAGTTCAGACTTATTTGAGTCATTATGAGACACGTTGCTCTACACATTCAAACTTTTGCTTTTAAACTTTGTGTTCAGAAGTGGCAAAAGGTTGTGTTTCTTACCTACTCTGTGATTATTTTTTCATGTGAATTTCAGTTTTAACATAATTGATGCTCTGACCACTGGGGTATTTCTGGAGTTAGTTAAATGATTTTTTTTTCTGATGACTGTGGTGTTCAAGATCAAGGGATTAAGAGATCTCATCCTCTCAAATACTATGCTTATTCTAAAATTAGAGAGGAAAACAAGCTGTCCTGTAGTTATGAAATCTCAACCGGTTTTTTATCACAGAATGAATTAATCATCAGCCTAGCCTATTAAGAATAAGCTTCTGTATGAAGCTGCTTACAAAGTTGTTATGGTACTTCAGCAATCTTTGGTTCCTGTGTTTAGCAGGAACCTTTTAATGGTCTGACTGTAAAACTTATGTCAGCAAATATATGCGTTATGGCTTTAAACATTATTTTGGGGAAACAAGACTTTCTATTTAAGACTTTCCTATTTAATGGTCATTCTTTTCTCTGTGGCTACATAAAAACTGTTTTTGAGGCAACAGTTCTTTCCCTACTGCTTTCACATGGGATATTTCTACTGCCCAGCCCCTGGGGAAAGTTGTATGATGAGCTACATTAGCACTGTAGGATCTAACGCAACTTAGGTCCCCTCCTGACATAATTATAGAAAACGTGAGTTCTCCTAGCCTGAATGCAATGCAAAGACAACACAACATCCACTATCTAGGACGATCAGGACACAGAGTATATAACCCTGGAGAGAGTTCAGTAAGACACGTGGGAAGAGTGTGTTTACAAAAGGAGCAGAGGAGGGTTGTCGTACAGAAACAAGTACATTTTGGTAGGAAAAATGGTTCTCTGGCCTGCAAGGGTCAGGTTTTCTTGCCCTTTCCAATGTAGCAAAAACGTGTGCTATAGGCAGCATTCCTTGCCATACCGGTATAGCAGAAGTGAATGACAGCATGCATGAAAGATAATGACAACATATCCATTGAAATATTACTGTGACAGCCTACAGGAGATGCAACAGGGAGACAATTTGTCCGTTAATGTTACTGGTTACTTGTTTCTTCCCTCAGAGAAAAGTGAGTCATACAGCAAGGAAAACATAATCCATTTAATGAAGAAAGCCGATGCACATATCCCTAGGCGGCACAAGCTTTTCTGAGCGCAGAAATCCATAATGGTGGGCTCAGCAGTAGAGAGATGAAAGATCCATTGCCAACTCCCTGGTGCCCTTTCATATTTCTTATTTCTTGTACCACTCATCTGCAGCCCTGTTCTGGATGCAATTTAATTCTGTTTACTTTATTGAATGGCTTTGAAAAGCTAAACAGATAATGTCACCTTTGCAGCTTAGTGAGAAGTTATGCACAGAAAGTAAAACTTGAAATCTGCCTTGTCACTTGTATTGCAGTGTTTATTCCAGCCCTGCTACTCCTGTCTTTCTTTCCTACCACGAACTAGCTTGATTTTGCCGTGAGTGGAAAAACCTTCAAAAGCTCATGAAAAGCAAATGGTCTTTGCTTGATGACCTGACTGTAAAGAAAGTGCAGTGCACTCCGCAGAGCTCTTGCTTTCTGTGGGGGAGCACTGGGCAGGGTTCAACAGAGCAAAAAAAGAAAAACAGAAAATCCCAGTGTAAGACAAATCTTAAACCTACCTCAGCTTACTCTGCAGACTTCTTAAAGGCCAATGTAGTTCAGTTTAGAAGTTTTAGAACTTCACAAAGACAATTCTATTCGCTTTGTTCTAACAAGGAATGTCAGAAGAGTTTATTTGTGATTTCTAAAATACTTTTTCAGCTCTCTGTCAATCTTTGCCTAGTGAAGGAATCAATATATTACAAAATCCAGACAGTGGATTAAATTAAATCAATTCTCATCCGAAAATTGATGCTTAAAAACTTTTGTGATCTGTCTTCCAATTTCAGATAAACAGAAATTCTTGGCTCGGCAAGTCAAACTCGTATTCGCTAGATACTCTGTCCATGGCCAGGGATTCGAAGTGTTTCAGCACCATCGGTAAGTACAGCTGAAATATCTCTGCAGACGTTTTTTCAGATTTCTCACAGAAGGTACGTGGCTGTAAGGAACAGCCAAGAAACAATGAGGAAAAACTCTTTTTCTGTCTCTGCTGGACTCATGACAGCTGACGAGCTCTGGATCAAAAGAAGGAAAAAAATCCACAATTTTCCTTTTGCTTTTCATATTGAAATTGGAAACTGCTGTTCACCACAGAACTTTTTAGAGTTATTGCCAGAGTAACTTATGGTACTGTCTTAACAGTGTGGAGGACTTGCACCTATACATTCTGTCGTCTCATTACTTCATACATGTCTCCTTTCTACTCACAGTGTGGCTGGTGCTTTAGACCATGAGGTAGTTGCAGCCCTGATCTGGCAAAGATTAAGGGAGAGTTACACTGTTAGGACTTCTTCCTCTTCATTTATCAGAGGGCTGGAGCACCTCTCCATGAAGAAAGTTTTAACAAGCTGGAATTAGAGAATTCTAATTTTTCTTTTCTGGAGAAGAGACTCTTGTGAGGGAATGTAGTGCTGGGACAAGAGGGAATGACTTGAAACTAAAAGAGGGAAGATTTATGTTAGATGTTAAGAGGAAAGTCATTACTCAGAGTGTGGTGAGGCACTGGCATAGGTTCCCGAGAGAGGCTGTGGATGCCCCATTCCTGGAGGAGCTTGAGGCCAGGTTGGATGGGTCCCTGGGCAGCCTGAGCTTGTGGCAGTAAGTTGGGGCTGGGTGGGTTTTAAGGTCCCTTCCATCCTAAGCCATTCTGTTATTCTGTGGTTCTACATGTTGAATTTCACTGTGCATCACATGTGATCTTGGCACATGCAGGTTTGTCCTAGATTTCAAACATTCCTACTATATACTGGGCTGCTAGATATTTGATAAGTCCAGGCCAGTGCACTACAAAGATTGTAGGAGGATTAATATTAAAGCTGTGTAGTCTTCCATGGTAAATCTTTACTGTGCATTGTGCTTTGGTAGAGTCTGGAAGTGGCAACATTCATGCTTTGCACGCTTCTCTGTTGCACAAATAAATCCATCAGACACCTGGGGAGTCTGACTCTTTCTTTGTTTATTCACTCATGGGGAAATTGACAAGCAGATCAAACAAAGGGCTGTATGAACTTGTTCTGCTAATGCCGAGACAAGGTACTCAACTAACTATTGTGTTATGCCTTTTTCTTGTTTTTTTTTGAAAGTATTTGGGAAAGAAGAGGAAAAACAAGCTTGCCTACTGTATGAAAAGTCAGAGTTGTTGACAGATACAGGGACAGGCAAAATTGCAAAGGTGAAATTAATTTTGGCAAAAAAATTGAAGAGCTAGTCCAGGAAAAGATAAGGTGATTATTTTTTTTTTTCCCCAGTAATTTGTTGAAACAAAATAAACGCTTGAGAATTTGAAAAAATAAAATAGAATTTTAAAATATATGTATTATCTAAATAACCTTTTTTTAGTATTCTTCAATGTTTTCGCTTACTTCTATGTTCTGTAATTCATGTAGTTATTATCATTTTGACTTTTACAAATTATCAGATGTCACACAGCTTCAGATAGTTGAGTAAACTTTTGCAACTGTATGTCAGGTAGACACTGACATCCCCATGAAGAGACAGACAGACGGGGGCATAAAAATGTCAAAAGAAAGTTTGAACTGAAAAAGGGAATTTTGAGAAAGGGGACATCAATGAAGGAAGATCAGAGAGGGGTTTTTAAAAAGAGTAGAGAGAAAGAAGAGGAAAGCAGCTGCTGAGGCCCACATGGGGAAAGGCTGTTTGCAAAGGCTCACAGGTGAGGTGCTAGGCAGTAGCTGCTGTCTGTGGTTTGAGTAAGTGCTATTGGTCTGACACAAGAAAGGGAAGGAAGTGAATGTGGAAATGAATGTGAAGGAAGTGAACACTTCTCCAGTGCTGCCAGAATTTTGTATTAATATCCTATTTGACTGCTGCTGCTTGAGCATGCTGAACCCTGCTTTTGTATACCTGGCATAGTCCTGATCTCCAGGATGAAAATTGTATAAAATTGAGAGCCTGTTCACATTCAAAGAAATGAGGTCCTTAGTTTCCTAGGGTCTTTTGAAACTGGAACTTAAGTCAGCTACAGCCATCAGGCTTGATCTTTAGCATGTCAGTAGGTCTGCAACAGAGCTTTCTGTGCGATTCCTCCTTACCCCACATGCAGTATTCTTCTTTGTGTGGATGGCTTGGAGATGGTTTATTTAGCATTTTCCATATTGACTGAAATCCTGTTATGTTCTGCAAGAGCAAAAGCTTTTAAACATGCATAACTTCTTTATCAAAGAGGACCATTTCTGCAGAAGCTCTACATTAAGCACTCGTTTTGCCTGGAATTGTATCGGTGCTCTGCCATTTTATCCAAGCTGCATAGGAGATGAATACTTGCTAGTTCCATTTTAATGAAACAGAAGTAAGAGCTTAACATGACAGGCTGTTATTCCTGTAAGAATGTAGTGTTTTTAATGGACAGTTCATTGCAGTTACTATCATTCCTTCAGGTGGAAAGCAGGACTTATGTTTGCCAAGTTTTGCTGTAGTGGATGTCTGGTGTTGTCCACTATGACTCAATGAAACTCTGCATTCTTTTTTTTGCACATACTGGAAGGGAGAGCTGCATGAAACTGCTTGGTTCTCTGAATCCTAGCCCATTCTTGTGTGAGGTTTGGTAACATGATTTGCCTGAAAAGTTACCCTGAGTAAACATGCAAGACAGGTGAGCAACCTATTTTTGAAAGACATATTTTCAGTAGACTACATCAAAGCCATGGAGGGACGAAGGTGCTGCGCTGTTGAACCAGGCAGCTCTTGGGTGAACAGCACTTTTGCAAATCACTTTTATCATTGTATAGTGAAACAGTACACTCGGTTCTTCATTTACAGCATGTTTCTCTCTCTCCTTTGCTTTCAGCTCCACTTCAGGGCTATTTGAGCCTGACAGCTGGCTTTGTTTTGTTTTTGTTTTTTATTTCACTTTTTTTCCTCCCTGTGAAATTCTAACATACTAGTTTCAAAGAAAGACATCTGTTACCTTTAGCGTGGAGCAGTAGTGAAACAAACTGACTGCTATTCTGTGCCTTTGGAATAGTTTTTCTTTAGTTTATCTGCCACTTTTATGAGTCCGGATAAAAACTTTCCACATCACAGCTGCTCATGAGCTTTCTATTTCTTCTGCTGGGAGATTAATTGAAATAAAATAAACTTAAAATCTCAGCCTGACTGCAGAGTAATATATACCACAGAATTATGAGCTGCAGTGTCATGCAATGCCTGATGGCTTGCAATATCGTGTCTCATTGTGAAGATACTTAACTGGGAAGATGCTGAAATGTTGTCAGGGCTGCACAAAGTAACGTTATTAAAACATATTTGTTTTATAAAAGGAAGTTAACATACCACCAATGGCAAGATTTTCTTTCTTTAAACTGCAAGGGGAAAAAAAGGTGGAGAAAGAAATAGGAAAAAATTGTGATTTTTTTTTTTAAACTATCAAAGTTTCCTCAGGTTGAAATTTAAAATATCAGCCTACTGATCAGTTTTCCATGTGGAAACTTTTTATTTGAAACATTTTTTACTTAGATACGGAGAACTGGTAGCTGTTCTTCTGGGTTCAACTAACTGATTACCTGTTTGGGCTTGTGGCTCTGAAAGTAAATTATTTTGTGGTAAAAAATGTTGTTTGTACAGCACCTTGTGAATAGAAACTGTTCTCTATGCTTGGAATTCCTGAATGTGACAGCAAAATAAGAGTATAAATGTTAAGGTTGTTCATAGGAGATGTGTGGAGTGTAAAACCTATATTCCCAGTGGCATTCAAGGCCAGGTTGGATGGGATCCTAGGCAGCCTGATGTAGTGGTTGGCAACCCTGTTAATGGCAGGAGGGTGGAACTGGACGACCTTTAAGATCCCCTTCAACCTAAGCCATTCTGTGATTATTCCATTCTGACTCTGCTCTGTTCAGCCTTATTATCGTTTTTCAACCCATCTCCTACAGCCCCCCATCCTCACTGCAGTACAGGATTTACTATTTCTCTTCATCCTCCTTCCCCATTCTTTCAAGCTATGAATGAACTTCTGCCCCCTCCTCTGCTGCCCAGAGAAAGCCTGCAAGGAAAGTTAGTGCTTCCATGGCGTGGCTGAGGGTCTTTGTTTACAGCATGCTTCTGTCTTCAACACATTTAATCTCCCAAATCCTAGCTTGTGTATAATGGAATGGGGCATCTTTACGAGTTAGTCCGATCTCACGCAGTTCACATCTGAGTGATTAAAGCGGAGTATCTCAATTTGATTTAGCACTGTGAGCAAACACCAGTACAGAGAGGAGCAATCTATATTTTTCAATTGTTTTTTTGTGGTAAATGGAGAGGGAAGTGCTGCTCTGCCCTGCTATGAATGTCTTCCCTAGGTCTAAATCCTCTTCAGTCTTCTATTTACATGCAGGAAATCTTTTTGTTCTCCTTAGCTTATCCTTGGCCCTATTCACATTGGTAATTCTGCCTTCCAGCAAAAAATGTCTAGAAAAATTTACCTATCAACTTAACTCCTTCTTTTTGGAAGATCCTAGTATTTGAAGCTCAGAACCAGTATGAAATCACATCTGTATTGGTGGGTAAAAATCTAAACAGACAGGCAGAAGAAACTTTTTGAATTTTAGGTAGGAGAACTGTTCCTTTCTGCTGTGGAGTAAAAAGTTAGATTTTCAGGGAAGGAGTCAATTTTATCTTATTTTATTTTTACGTTTTAATTTTTTACTCCTGTTGGATAGAGAAGGAAATTAGTCTAACCTTGTTTTTCTAGTGATTAATTTTCTTTCATATTGAAATGACTTACAATAAGCAATTGTTATTTTCAGGTCAAATATTTGGATCTAAGGTTCTGGACTATTTAACTGTCAAGTTCTAATCTATTATGACTAGTACAGACAGCCTTGAACTTACATCAAGGTATAAATAAGCAAACATTTCATTAAGGATGAGACAGT